CCACTGTGGTGGAAAATTGTCAGACACGGAGGCTCTGGATTTGAAATCTGAACCCACTATTTATTTGCTCTTTGGCTTTGGGCAAATCAGCCATCCTGAGTCTCATTTCACCCATCTGTAAAATACGTTCTTACGCAGTTGTGACAATATACAGCCTTGATGTACTCCTTTCCCAATTCTGAACCAGTCTCCTATTCCATGCCTGGGGGATTAAGTGCAAGAATGAAGTATATGAGAGCTCGGGAGCTCCAGTATGACATCCTATTTCATGTTGTTTGGACTGGCTGTTAGGAGAAAGCAGGGACTATGTGTTCTTCAGAACACCCAGTCTAGTGCCTGCCATGTAGAAAGTGTTCAATAATTATTTGTTGAATAAATGAATCAGCTTGATACTATGTCTTGATCCTCAGTACTTACTCAATAATTATTAGTTGACATCTGAATGGGAAGATTTTATGATCAGATCATAAAATTCCTGATCAGATCTCGGTCTAGACGGGTAACTTTGGCAACAAGACAGCAGGGAGTTTGCAGGAGTCAAGATGGAAACAAAGGAAATTATTGGAAGGCCTTGCAATAATCTGTGTTAATGGCATCTATCAAGATAGGAAATTCTAAAGGATGGGGGGGGGGAGGGGGAGGCCCTGAATAGTCAGCTCTGTTTGGACCTGTTGAGAGTGAGGCCATAGTGGGGAGGGCTGGGTACCTGGTGAAGCATCTATCTGGAGTACCTGGGGGAGAGGGCATCATGAGACAGGTCAAGTGTGGTTGAAGCCATTGGCCTAGACTCAGCTTCCAGGGACAGCGTGAACACACGGGGGTGGGGGGTGGAGGAAACAGTCAGTAAACTCTGGAAAACCCCAGTGAGCCAAAGGGAAGACAGGGTCATAGGCAGACTGAGAAGGCGGCTCCTGACTTGTCTGCGACAGACGCCAGTGTCAGGCAGCATGACTGTTCAGAGAGTGGTCGGGGGCAGGTTCTGCATGTTGTGCGTGTACCTGTGCAGCGCATTCCAGGGCCTGGGTCTGGAGTCAGACCAGCTGGGCTGATTTGACTCCACCGGGAACGAGCACGCCTGACTGTGTGCAGGTTACTCGACCTGCCAGAACCTCCTCTTCCACTCTGTAGAGATAGTGAACTGTAGCTTCCTCTCCAGTTTGTTGTAGGGATTAAATGAAATGAAACACACAAGGTTACTAGGACAGGCTCTGCACAAGGTGGCTAATGATCACTCCAAATGGTTTCAGGGGTGGGTTGGCACCTCACTCGGTTTTCAGCCTCTGAATATGTTTGTCGCTCATGAGGCCCCAAACCTGATTTCTGGACCCTTCCATGGATCCTGGATGAGGAGACCTGAGGTCCAAAGTTGTTGAAGCTCCCATAGCAAGCTAGAGCTGGAGCTGGGCCTGGAATACCAGCCCCCTGGCTTCCATTTTTGCACCACAGCTTTCCCACAGGGTGGATTTGACAAAGGATCTGGCCACATGTCAGGATGGCATTTGAGAGAGGAAGAAAGTTTCAAATGATGTCTTTTGTCATCTGACGCTCTGAGACAGGGAAGTCACCCATCCACCACTTCAGTGGGGCTTTCTGAATCCCCACCCCCACCAACAGCAATGCTATCATTGCTCTGGGGCTCTGGATGCTGCAGCTTCAGGTCCAGACTCCTCTTCCTGGGACGAGGGACAAGAAGAGCTAGTTCTGCCCTTCGCGCGTTCACTCCCAGAAGCATGGAGGGCTGTTGTCTGGGCTCTTCCTGCTGCCTCCTCCCCTCCCCTGGCCAGGTTATCACCACTGTTGATTATTCACGGGGAAGAGGTGCAGACAGCGTCACTGGACGTTGAAAGGAATCCGGTCTTCCTCCCTCTGGGACTATGGAGCTTCAGTCTGGATTTTTCCTCCCGGAGGCTGGCCAACTTGTTGTATCACATGTGATCTTTGCCGGCTTCAGAAGAGTCCCAGGGTCCTCACCAGCACGGTCTCTGCTTTGCTTGGCTTCCTTCCAAGCCTAGATTCATTGACAGGTGGGGTCGGGTAAACACACAGACACTAACTAGGCTTTGAAAATATCTCACCAGCTATGATGGACCACATCGCTTCCCTCGGTCTCCTCATCTGTGAAGTGGGAGTAAAACCTGCTGTCAGGGTTGCGGAGCAACCCAAGTGATGAGGGGAAGGGACTTTGAAAAGCCCTACTCAGATGTCAATTTCCATAATATTTGAGCTGGCAGGAGCAGTGCCCTAAAAGAACACGGTGTCACTCAGGCCTTTTCCTAAGTGGATCTGACATCTAGTGTGCCGCTCACAAGCAGAGACTCACGCTGACTCCTGGGGCACTTCGGCTTGTGGTTCAAAAAGCCTGTTATTGGCTGGATTTTAAGACTGTACTTTTGAATGTGTAGTGCGGCAGTTGCTCTGCAGAGGTCAGTGTGTGCTCCAAGGACACAGTGTGGCCAGGGAATCTGGGGCCTGTTTTTCCCTTGAATACTGAATTCCCGCTGAGCAAGGAGGCTCCTTTTGTAAGGAAACATGTGTTCTTTCACTGGCCAGACAAAGCAGGGAGGCTGTTGCTGATGACCCAGGGGTCATGCAAAGCCCCCTCCCTGCAGGATTCATCATCCTGACATTGACCTTGGAGGGGCTGGTGAGGCCAAAACCAGCTTCCTTTCCCTGGACCATAGTCTCTGGGGTGAACCACTACCCTCCCCCAACAAAGTGAAAGTGAAAGTCGCTCAGTTGGGTCTGACTCTTTGCGACTCCATGGACTATACCATCCATGGAATTCTCCAGGCCAGAATACTGGAGTGGGTAGCCTTTCCCTTCTCCAGGGGATCTTCCCAACCCAGGGATCGAACCCAGGTCTTCCGCATTGCAGGCGGACTCTTTAACCAGCTGAGCCACCAGGGAAGCCCAAGAATACTGGAGTGGGTAGCCTACCCTTCTCCAGGGGATCTTCCCAACCCAGGAATCGAACCAGGGTCCCCTGCATTGCAGGCAGATTCTTTTACCAACTGAGTTATCAGGGAAGCCTCACCAGACAAAACAGTCTTTGAAATACTCATTTGAAGAGCAGATTGCTCCAAAACCTACTTTCAACCCCACTAACGTGCATTCTTCCCTGAAAACACCCAGTAGCTCACCCCAGCCCCCACCCCCACCTGGTTACCTCCACCTGTTATCTCCCGGCCTGGGAGGTGGCTACTGGTATCCGTCCTGGAGCTGGGCAGGTCAGTGGGCCGCGGCGCAGGCTCTCGGCTAGCTCGTGTTCATGCCTGCCAGGCGCTCGCGGGCTCCTGGAAAAAAGACTGTGTGGGAGGCTGGAGCCAAATTGGGCTGCAGTTGAAACCATCCTGAGCACTGACGGATTTGACTAAGACGGGGGAGGAAGAGGGCTCCTCGTAAAAGTAGCCAGAGCTTAAAATGGAGCTGGCAGCTTGTAGTCTGGGGGTTGAGTCTAGCCCCTAACCCAGCTTGTGCCCCAAGACTGGATGCTTTTTGCAACTACAGGAGACACAGACTTGGAGAAAGTCCTGATAAGCCTTCTCAGCCACTCTCTGGGCATTTCCAGGGCCCCCAGGGGTCCCCAGGCCATCAGACTCCACAAGCATGGCACCCCTGGCATTGCTAGGGTCTGAAATCTTGTGTTCTGTTCCCGAGACTCCGAGCCCCTCTCTGCTGAAAGTCGGCAGCACACACAACGCATCAGTGCCATCTCTTCTGAGGGATGGCATCACGCTGACAAGAGCACAGGCCCTAGGATTGCAAAGACCCGGGTCTGAGTCCCAGCACATTTGTCCTACCAATGTGACTCTGAGCTTCAGCTTCCTCACCCGTAAAAAGGCAATAATAATCTCTATCCCGAGGCTGTTGGGAAATGACAGGCTGCATGTAAATCACCAGGCACATACAGTAACTACTGTAGATGAAGGATTTGAAGGGTTCAGCCCCAGCCGAGGAAGGTGTGCCTGCATCCACTTCTAATGGAGAAATGTAATTGATGAGATGACAACATCTGGCAAAGACCCCTCTTGGCCAGACCCCGCACCCCTCCCCGCCCGGAGTAAAATGCACTAATAACCTGGGTGGTGTCTGCAGGCAACTTTAGAAACCTGAGGCTTCCTGGGGGCAAGTTCCTGGGGTGGGTGGAAGGGCCTGCTTACTCTGCAGATTGCTGTAACTTTGCATGTGATTTGCATATGCTTGGAGGTGGGGGCGCCCTGCAGTTTCTTCTGGCATTTCCGAGTTAAAATATTGCTGCTTCTCCAGGCAGACCAGATATTGATTTTCTTCTTCTGCAGTCACTTCTCTAACCACTCCGAGGGTCCTGGCTCCTTCACCCAGGGAATGGGGAATGAGAGCGTGGCGTGAGGCAGAGGATGGGGGGAAGGGAGGCGCGACGGTGTGGGCCTCCGAGCTCCTGCTACTCCTGAGCCCCAGCCGTCCTGGGGGAGGAGGAGCTGCGACCAGGAGGATGGAGGCAGCACAGAGGGCATTTTCTCCCTCGGTCCAGTCCAGTCCATTCCCGCCCCGCATCCCTGCTCTGACTCGGGATGCCCCGGGTCCACTTGCCGGTGTGGTCCAGCGGCAGGGTGGGGACGCGCGGGCCTGGGGCGGGAGGACCCGGAGGGGCGTGGCGACCGCCGGGGCCTGGAGGAACCTTGCGAGAGGAAGTGGCTTCCGAACCCCTCTGCGCAGCGCGAGGGGCAGGAGCGGCGCAGAGGCGGGGGCCGGGCCGAGAAAGGGCTCCGCGCGGGGTGGAGCGGGGCGCCGGCGCGGAGGGCGCGAAGGCGCAGATGCCCAGTGAGCTGCAGAGCGAGGTGCGCCGCGCGGCGTCCGGGTCTGACCGCCTGCAGGAGACAGGTTACTCAGCCGCCTGAGCCCCTCGGGCCCCAGTGTGAAAGGCGAGACGCCGGCGCCGGGTCCGCCCGGCCGGGTAGCGGACTCGCTCCCCAGCGGGGCTAGAAGCTCGCGCCGCGGCCGCCTGGGGAAGGGTCCTCGCCTCCCTGTGCCGCACCCCGAGCCCCTAGCAGATGCGCTCGCTGCCTCCGGCCGGGGCTCCGGGCTAGATGACGGTGGACAGCATCATGAGCAGTGGGTACTGTAGCCTGGAGGAGGAACTGGAGGACTGCTTCTTCACCGCCAAGACCACCTTCTTCAGGAATGTGCAGAGCAAACGTCCTTCGAAGGTAAACGTAATGATACAGGAGGCTTTCACTGGGAGGAAGCAAGCTCCGTGGTCTAGAAGGGAAACCAGGCTCCTGCAGACAGGCTGTCAGCGTCTTACCGGAGCAGGTGGGCAGTTGCCCTGCGGGCCCTCTTTAACTTGATGGCTGAGCAGACCCCGGTTGGATCCTTTGGGGACCACTGGCAAACACTGGTCTTTTTTTTTTAATGTTCTTGTCAGCATTTCCTGTCCCCGGACCTTTTCAAAATGGCTCTCTAGGATTTGGGGACCGCGCTTGGCTTGTGGTTGGGTGACATGCTCACCTGTGCCTGAGAGGGCGACCTTCCCCCAAATCCTAGCTCTGAAGCTCCAGGTGGCAAATGGATGGTTCCCTGTCCCTCAGTGAGATAACTTTGCTAGGTTGAGACTTCCGTGTTGCAGATGGCCAGAAACCATCTTAAAACTCAGCACAGCAACTTTGCAGAAGTCCAGGGTGTTTTTAGCAGTAAACTAAAACTTCTCTCCTGGCTCATTGTGCTGCTACCATTTTGGCTTCCTGAGCTAGCTAGGGGTAACCTAAAGGGGTTTGCATGTGTCCCCTCGTGCGGCTGTGTGTGCTAGACACCCAGCTCACCGGAGGCCCCTGGCCACACTCTCCCGGTTGCAGCCATGTGTCTGCTCCACGGCAGTGGTGGCAGAGCTCTGTTTATTTATTTGTTTTGTTATTTAGATGAGAGGGCGCCAAGCCAGGTCCTTGCCTAAATGGGCCTGTTTGTAGACAGAAGTGAGCAGTTACATTCTACAGGTGTATGCAGGCTCATAATTAATTCAGCAGTCCTACATCGAGTCAAATTAGCTAAAAACTTCCCCAGGCCTGACGCTGGGGCCTCCATAGTTAATGATTCATCCTGCCTGTAGGCCCTACATTTGCTGGGTTCTGCCCATCGAACATATGCACCGTGAGAGGATGTCCAAGGATCAGCAGTGGACTTTTGATTTTAGTGTTCAGAGAATCAACTAGAACAGGCCTGTGTTCTGGGGTACGCCTTTGAGAAACTGGGGCAGGGGGTAAGGAGGGCTCATGCGGAAAGCATGGCTGCTGAGGGAGGGTGTCCAGCTCTCTCCTGGGGTTCCTGCCTCAACGTGTATACCCCCTTCTACCCTCACCCCCACCCATACACATATTTAAGGGCACTCCAGCTGTCTAGGGTCTTTATTTAGGCCAGTGGATCTCAGCCTTAGCTGCACACTGGAACTGCCTACTGAGCTTTAGAAAATATGGGTTCTTGGGTCCCACAGCACGGGAGTCTGATTTCATTGTTCTGCAGTGAAGCCTGGGCATCAAGATTTTGAAAAGCTCCCCTGTTTCTTCTGAGATGCAGCTGAGGCTGAGAACCATTGCCCTAGAGGGTTTTGCTGCTGCCGGTTAGGAAATGGTTCCTGTTTTTAGAACAAAGTTTAGCTGCTGCACTTGCTGCCAGCCAGGCTGAAAGCCCTCAGCCCTAGAAGGTGGGCTTTTTGTGCGATTGGGTAGAGGAAGGGGCACTGCAGAGCTGAGGCTCCTTTCACATGGCAGATAAAAAGGGTATCTGTTTCTGGTGATTCTTGGGAGAAATAGAGATATTTTTACAATAAAACATGCAGGGCCTTCCCTGGTGGCTCAGATGGTAAAGAATCTGCCTACAATGCAGGAGACTGAGGTTCGATCTCTGGGTTGGAAAGATCCTCTGGAGAAGGAAATGGCAACCCACTCCAGTATTCTTGCCTGGAGAATTCCTTGGACAGAAGAGCTACAGTCCATGGGGCCACAAAGAGTCGGGCGTGACTGAGCGACTAACACTTTCACTTATTTTTCATGCTGGCGTGGGGAGGTGACTTGTTTTTTGGCCCAAACAGCCTTCTCTCTCATTCTCCCCCAAAGCCCTTTCCAGGGATCACTCTTGAAAACACACCTTCGGCTTTGCACCCACGTCACCCCTTTCTTTGCGACATTGACTCCAGCTTGGTCTGGTTCTTGAATCCGTTGCATGGCATGAGGTCTCTGCACAGCCCCCACCTTCTTTCTGCAAATTTGTAAGCCCTCGGAGGGCGGGAATCCCTTCTGAGAAATGGATTTTATTGAGCCCCACACAGGGTGATAAGGATAATGCCTCAGAGAGAGAGAGATGGACACGGCCTCTGCCCAGCTACAGTGTGCGTGGAGTCTTGACTGAGATTCAGAGCTGCTGTTGGAGACATCTTCCTCAGCACCAGCCTTGCCGTCTCTGCAGCCCTCTCCACGGAGCCAGGGGGTGCAGGGCTGCCTCTCGTGGGGGAGCAGGCACTGGCTGGCCCCACTGGCTGTGACGGGGTGCATGTGTCTGGTGTAGGAACCGGGACGCTGCATCCACATATCTGAGTCTCCTGTCCTTCTACGTGCTTTTCCACCTTTAAAAACACTTCAGATCTCTCTTCCCCTTGGAGCCACTTCTAGAAACAGTTTCCAAGAGATCGGCCTTATCCTGGCCCCGTTCTGACTCCTATCAATACTTTTTTCCCTACCCAGTCTGAGCTCCCAGGAGAATTTCTCCTTCCTGTCTCCAAGGAAAGGCGTTTATGTGTTTCCCGGTCGCCGAGAGACTGAGGCCCTGTTCAGGAAAGGCCCGAGCCGGCGTCTATAAATAGCCTTGTCAGAGCAACCTGTATCTGCCAGTCTGTCGTGTGCCTGGCTGGAGCGGAGCCGTGGGGGGAAGCCTCCCACTGTCCTGGAGCCTTCGCTGGCCCAGCCTCCAGGGAGCTCCCGAGACCTCTGTCCAACCCTTTCGGTGGGGGGCAGGAGCGTGGGGGAGAGAGGGGCCACGCTCAGCCAGGAGGCCCCGAAGGTGGAGCAGCAGAGGAAGTGGGCACAGACCCTGGGCCCGGCTGGTTCCCTCCGTTCAGAAGGCAGCAGCTCCCTGGGGCCCCAGGCCTCCCCTGAGACGGCCACGGAGCCCCAGCTTTCAGGCTTTGTTTCAGGGGGCGGAGGTGGTGCCCTGTGGGAACTTCTCCCTTGGCTGCTGGGCCCGATTAGGTTGCTTACCCCGGATTGTGTCTCCAAATGGGGCCCCCAGTGGCTTGGGGGATCCCCACCGAGTGCTCAGAAGTGCAGACCAGGCAGCTCTCCAGAAGGCGTCCATATGGTCACCCGGTCCAAGACCTTGGCATCGGGGAGGGGGTCATTTGAGGCCACACAGCAAGTTCCTGACGGACCCCCAGGGTTGGAACCTGCATCTCTTGTCTCCCAGCCCGGAGGATTTTCTGCTTTAGGCCCACAGAAGGCAGGGTTTGGTGATTTGTGGGCCTGGTGCCTGGGGTCTCTGACCACCCCTGCCAGCTGCCCCTGTCTTCCCATCTGGGATCTGACCCTAGAGGGGAGGCCGGCTCCACCCTCCTCGGTTCCCCAGATGCCTGCAGGGGGCGGCAGTTTCAGGCTCTGACCCCTGAGCAGGAACACGGACACCCCGAGTTTTTTCTGCATGTTCCGCAGGCTCTGGGACCCCAGGCACCACCCAGACCGTTGGGCTGAAGGCTCCGGGGACACAGAAAGCCTCCTGCTTGCAGAATGTCTGAGCTGGAAGGACCCGAGTCTAGCACCTCTGTTTACAGATGGAGAGGCTGAAGCCAGGAGGCACGAGGTGCTCACCAGACCAGACATCTGGCTGGGTGGGGTCGCTTGGACACCTTGTCAGGAGCTCTTCTGGGTCTTCATCACTCAGCGGGTGACAGGGAGAGTCCTTGTCCTCTCAGAGCCTTCTAAACAGTGCAAGAAGCCAAACAGCCTCAGGCTAGGAGAGGGGCTGGGGCCTTCCATCCCTCGGCTCCTAAGGCGCAGTGCAGCCCAGGAATGTTCATTCTACACTTGGTACCAACAGGGCTCCCTGCCTCAGTCCCAGAACCTTCCAAGTTCTTCGCATCTGCCCTAGTACTGCTTGCTGTATCTTTGTCGTGCATGTTTCCTTTGTGGATATGGAGGCAGAAGGTTGGGCTCTATCTGTGGTTAAATATTGTACTTAAGCACAGCCGGAATGCATTCCCATCCCCCACCCCCCACCCCGGGCCCTTCCTGGCCTACATTGACACCATTGATTTTTGAAAAGTTTAAGGAAGATGCAAAGGGGAAGGGGAGCAGTCACAGAGGTCACAGGACGAAGCCACGCCCAGCCCCATCCTTGCACTTGCCTCCTCTCCTCTTGCCTGGCCGCTTGGCTCCTCCGTGGACAAGGCTCTGTGGTTCCAGGGACGTCATGCAAGCCTGACCCATCAGGGAAATCCCCATCTCTCTGCCCACAACAGGAGCATGCCTCTGCCTCCGTACCTGCCCCTGACCTTCTTGGCGTGAGAGATAAAGGACACTAAAAATAAGTTAGTTCCAACTTTGAGCAATAAAAATAAAAATCTTCAGCACCGTTGGACCATATCACTGCTACTTTGTGCACTTTCTGGGAAGCCTGCCCAGCCCACCACTCACTTCTCCATGCTGGCAGGACCCGCCATAGCCTCCCTCCGGGGCTGGAGTCTGCGGTCCCCTCCTGGGGGACCGGTGGCCTGCTGCTGCTCTGGCCCGTCTCAGCGTGGCTTTTCTCCACGAAGATGGTAAGCTGTGTAAGATCAGGACCCGCGTCCTCTGCAGATGCTGCGTAGCACCAGCTGCTGGTTACAGAAGCCGGGCTGGCTGAATGCGGGTCGAGTTTCATCGCCGCGCCATCTCTCTCGCATCCTGTGTGATCAGGATGGACTGACATGTCACAAATAGCCCCATTATTTTCAGTCATCAGATACAGCAGACGCTTATTTCCCTCTTTAAGGAAAGTTACATTGGTCGGTGGGGCTCAGGATAACACACGGGAGATTCTGCGGGTCAGGCCCGGAAGCGGTGTTTGTGTGTTCTAGCCCCTACGCCATTGGCCAGAGCTCAGTCACGTGGCCACTGCTAACCACAGGGATGTTGAGAAATGAAATACAGCTGTGAGCGCAGGTGGACGAGGAAGCCGGTTGTGGTGAACA